AGCCTTAAAAAAGCACCGTGCGGACAGAAAACTTTTGCAACTAAGTTGCTGACAGTGATCTTGCATTCAAATAGCTGACTAAACTACATACCACCCTGGTTCATAAGGGACATACCAGCTGATGAAATCAGTTAGCATTAGTCTGTCAGTGCTGTAACCAAGTTTAAATACTTGTCAAAAAAATTACAACTCAGATATAATTATTTAACAGTACCTTACTGGAGCAAAACACACTCACACACACACTTACACAATGACATAATCACCTATTTGTCTGTTACCCAGGAAAGGAAAAGAACCATGTCGCTTCCTTTCCATCAAAAGAAAACTCTTACCCGGGGATTTAGCTCAGTGGTTTTGCTGCCTGCTATGCAAGAGTAAGGACCCAAGTTCGATACCCGGCACCAAAAAAAAGAAAACTCTTAAGTGATTGAGAAAAGGTTGTTGCTAAGTGATGAAAGGAATCTAGTTTCTGAATACATATGCTAGCTGTTGAGTTTATTTTTAAAATTTTCATTTTACTGAAAGATTTGGTTGAAACAAAACCTGCTTTTAATCAACCTGGAAGGCATCTGTGAAGGTAGCCCATAGCAAAACACCTGTCACTGTTTCTCAGGTCATTTCATCTTCTACTAAGGGTCTGCGTTCTTAGCAACATTCACTGTTCAAACTCTAAACTCTCAAAAGACTGACTAGTAAGAGAAAAAACAAACTATGAACATTTAAATTCCTTTTACATCCATTTTCTTTCGCCAGTTGTAGGTTTTCAGAAAATACTGGACATTTGCTGTTATAATTTGGTTCTCCACACAAAAGCTGGGGCCCAGACCACTGTCTGGAAATTTTCTTTTGATGCAATGAAACCAAAATTTCACTGTGGATGGGGTTCTTGGTATTTATGAATAGTTACTCTCTTGGTTTTGATTCTTTCAAAATTCTCCACACCTCCATACTGATGTGCATTTAGAAATGATGGAAAAATTCCTGAAATAGTTCTTCCTAATATGCAGTTCTACACCAACATTATTTTTTAAACTCTTGACAGTGAGCCCAAGGCCCTTTGCTTGAGTTTTGTAATTCTATTAGAATATATGTACACAAGAGGTAAGAGTTTTAAGTATTGTAAGCATACAATATTCTAGGAAGGGCCTATCCCATTATCTTAGACACTTAGTTATTTACCCTTCTGACTCTATTATTAACTAACTTGATTAAAGAAACAAACAAGAAACACCACACACACATATACACACTTATTCACAGCTTCTCCCCTAATGGATTAGAACATCTACCACACCTTGATCCATGTTTACTTAATGGCAGCACAAAAGCTAAGCCTGGAACTACTCTCCCCCTAAATAATTAGGAGGTATGGTATCCAGAGCTATCAATTTCAATTTAACAATTTTGATTTAGATAGCCTTTACATCCTGGAAGCATTCTCAAATATTGTGTAGTTAACTTATGAGTATCTTTTTAAACTTAATGCTCATACTAAATTACAATCCACTTTTAATTTAATTTGTAGAGTGCCTATGACTGTTGGGTTCTACTTAGCCAGGTGACATCACTAGAAAGTTTACAAAATTTAGACTCTAATCTTAACCCTTTTCCAACCTGGTTGTAGGATACCTAAGTTTCCATATAGTACACAAACAGTTAATAGTGGAAGATAACTCAAGATATACAATTTCAACAGCTAACAGATCAGATAGTAGGGAATGCAAATCTTCTGGACAAAATTCAAACATAATATTTTGAGGCATTTTTCAATTCTAAACAACCATTTGTACAATGGAGTACTAAAAGCACTTACTGCCATTTTACCAATTCAGATGTCTGTGGCAACATAAAGTATTTTTACAGCATTACTGAAGCTCACTCTCACATGAGGGTTACACCAGGTCCCTGCTTCTTGGGTGAAATGCTGCAGAACCACTACAGGAATCACTCTGAGTGTTCCTAGGATCCCCATACTTTTACATGAAGCCTTCCAAGAGGGGAGCTGGGTTTTCCCAACTTTTCTCTGGGAGAGAGACAAAGCAAAATAACAACCATGGCCTGCCTTCAGTAAAGTGACTTATTTTAAAAATATAACTTCTAGGTAGGCTTTTATTTGACTAGCACCACCAAATTGAAGCTTTAATTTTATTTCCTATTTCTTTTATGTACAAAGCTTCTTAGTCCTGCCTAAGCTTTCCTTTTTTTGGGACTGGCCAAAACCAAAACAGAAATGTTATTTCATCACCCAGGGTGGTAGGATATGGCATCATAAAATCTCCAGTGCCAGAGGGTAAAAGATTTTGCACTAAAACAAATTAGCATTAATGAGTCATATCTTGTGTGTCCTGTTAGGAGGATCATCCTTCAAACATTTTAATAGCTACAGCTTTCACCTTCCACCAGGTTATCTGGATAGCCGGCAGTTATCAAATTGTTTTAAAATATTTAACAGGATAACTTCAAATATTGTTCTAAAATCAACAGATGCTCCAGGAAACAAATGAGAGTTTAATTCTCTATTTCCTCAGTGAAAATTACTTAAAACCAGAACTGATTAGGTCTAGTCATACTTTTCCATAGAAAGGTCCATAATATTCTCTGCCCATTCAACTGTCCTCAGCTTTAAATTACAAATTTTCCAACAATTTTCACTGCATACATTCCCAAACCCAGGATCAAATATTAGCTTTCACACTTCTCCATCAGGTTGAAAAAGGTTTTAGTTGCTGAAGAAATTAAATATAAGATCTAATTAAAAAGTTGGTTAATAAATACTTACACTTCCTTTATCCAGGGAAAGAATACTTTTAAAGAACTATACTTTCAAAAATCTTTCAACTAGCTTTCCAAAGACAAGTAATAGGTTTTTTTCTTTTCTTTCTTTTTTTTTTTTTTTGATACCAGGGATTGAACTCAGGTCCTTGCGCTTGCGCAGCAGGCGGCGAAACCACTGAGCTAAATCCCCGGCCCAATAGGTTTTTTCTTTACATAATGAACTTTTGTTTTTCTTCAGTTTCCACTAATTTTAATATGGCTTTAATCCCATGAAAATCATTTCTACAGGCTATCAACCCTCTATTTTAAAATGCCCATTTGAGAACTTTTTCTAGAGGAGGCATTAGCCCTACCTTTACACCAACCTGGATGCCTTATGTATCGTTTCTTTTCCAGTGCATTAAATTGATTTATCACATTATTATCAAGCTCATCAAAGCACAATAAAACAGTACTAGATCAGAATGATGAAAGAGGGAAGCTCATGAGTTCCATAATTTTGAATACTTTCAATTTTAAGAAGCCCCCACCTGGAGTTAAAGTTATTTAACCCTTTAAATATTGAAAGCCAGAGTTAAAGACAGAGCCTTTTCCTCCTCCTTTTCCCCTTTGCCTTTCTGCCTGTTTCTGGTACAGTTCCATGATCTTCAATAAATGTAGCTACTTACTACTTAAAAAAAAAAATCCCAAATACATTTTAACAATTACCTTAAAGTCACACTGACCACATTTGAAATATGTCTTAAAACAATAAATCAGGTCTTACACAATAAGTAACTCTGAATTCTCCAATTCCCTATACTAACTCCACTGGGATGGTACCAGAAGCTGGGGGGAGGTTTGTAATTTTTTAAAATTCTGCATCCGTTCCTGGGTAGTTCTGAAAGATCTCAAGCCCCCATGCTATGCGTTTTGGATTTCACAAAGTATTCAAAGAAGGAAAATAATTCAGAGAGGTGGGAAGGACGAACTTAAAAGTGATGAGCTTCCTAACCTCCAGTTCCTAAGTTTCTCCGTGAGCTACTACCCACTAAATGCTTCGTTTGCAGATATAAACGAAGGAGAGAGGGGGTGGGGAGAGAGAGAGAGAAAAGTTCCAGCCTAGATCTTCCAGACAGGGGTCCATCACATAAAGTGGGAAGTCAACACGATGGCCAACACAGGGGCTACAGTCACTTTTAAGTTTCTTGCAAAAAGCTAAGACCAACACCCCAACGAGTGACTCATCTGGGGGCTTTGTAAGCGGACTTTGTTTGCTCTCTCCACTCTGCGTCTCCCCGCTCGGCTGAAGGAAACGCAGGAGCGGGCCTCGGGGGAAAGCGCTCGGGAGAAGGTCGGGCCTCCCGGAGTCCCGGCCCCGCTCCCGCCCTGCCCGGCCCGGGGATTCCCCGCGCTGCACCGGACCGCGCAGGAGCTGGACAGAGGAACCGGGTGCCAGCTGCCGGGGCTCGGCCCGGGCTGGGGCAAGGAAAACCGAAATCCAGTGAAAAAGTTTGGGCAAGGAAGACACCCTCACAACAACCCCCTCAACTGGGTAAACACGAGGGGGCGGCGGGAAGGGGGAGTGGCGGGGAACCCAGGGATACCCGCTATTCGCGGGATGTGGGAGGAGGGTCAGAAAGTCAACACACTAGCACACACACAAAAAGAGGAGAGGGCGGCGAGGAGAAAGGAGGCGGGCGAAAGATGGATGAAGTGTGCCGGGAGCGGGAGCAGGAGCGGGGACCCCTCACCCTCGACGCGGCCCGCGCCAGCCCGCAGCAGGGGCCAAGCGGCCCGCGCTCTCCAGGGCCCGGCGCCCTCCTTTCTTCGGGCCGCGGGGTGGTGACAGCGGCGGCCTCCTCCCTTCCCCACGGGGCGGGAGGGAAGGGTGTGTGTGCGTGCGTGTTGCCGGGGGGGCCGGGGGTTCACCCCGAGGCCTGCTCTCTCCCCCGCGCCCCGTGAGGCTGCCTCCTTTCACCTCGGCAGCCGGGCACCGCCGGGCGGGCGAGCGGAAAAACAAAGGGGGATTAAGGCCGGGCCGGAGAGCGGAGCCGGGAGGGAGGGGAGGAGGAGCGCCCGCCCGCCAGCCCGGGGCCCGGCCCCCCTGTCCCCCTGTCCCCCCCCGGGGGGCCCCCCAGTACCTGGAACAGGAACGCGGTCCAGTTGGCCTCCATGGCTGCAGCAGCCGACCCCCCTCCTCCCCACTCCCCCCGCTCAGGGAGCCTCCTCAGCCGGAGGAGGCGACAACAAAGCGGCGGCGGCGGCGGCGGCGGCAGCGGCAGCGGCGGCTCCTCAACATGGCAGCGCCGAGCGCGGCCACTTCCGGTAACCTCCGGGACGCACCACCGCGGCGGCGAGCGCGGGCGGGGGGGGAGCCCCGGCCCGGCCGCCGCCGCCCCCAACTGCCCCGACCCCCTCCGGGCGTCCCCGCAGCCAGCTCGCAGCCTCGGAGCTCAGCCAGTGCCCGCGGGCGGTGGGGTCAGGGCCCCCGCGGGGGGGCCGGGGTGGGGCCGGGGGCGGGGATGGGGCGCGGCGTCCCCCCCCGCGGGGGTGTGTGGTGCTGCGGTCCGCGGCTCTGGCAGCTGAAGCAGGGGGAGCTCAGGAGAGAAGATGGAGGACGCCAGGGTCTGGCGCTGGCCGCCTGGGCACCGCTGGGCCGTTTCGCATGACTCAGACTCGGTGCCCAGAAGCGTCGCTTCCGTGTCAGACCCTCAGCGGAGGGCACGGGGCTCGACGGGCACCAGGCTCTTAAGTCACATACAGCACAGCCCCCACCTCCAAACTGGGGGACGTCCCTTTGACCTCATCTCGCTTCTTTGGCATTTCATCCCTGGCAGGCTAAGCCCTCGGCGCTCCGCTAAGACTTGCCATCGCCCTCTGGACGGCCTTCCAACTCAAGCAGGGAGTCCCACTGGGGTGCAGCCTTAGATCCTCCCAGTGTGGAGGGAAACACTTCCCACGCATAAAGATGTCATTACTGGGTTATTCTTGGGTGAAGGGCTGAGCTTCCCCCTCTCCCCTTCACTCCAGACATGAAGTGAAATTCTATCCCCAAACCCTCCCTCTCCCGCCAAAATAACCACAAACAAAAAAAAAACAAGTGAGAAAGTATAGACATAAAATTACTTTAGTGTTTTACTACAGTCTGCTTCCTTCTGCACCCCCGAAACAAAAATCAAACTTCTGTTTGTGCATCAAGAGATGTCACTGAGGTGACCCCAGCCTGTTTGCAGTTCCAAGTCTTCTGTGTAGGCGTCACCGTTACTGAACTTTGTAGATGAGGAGTCTATATGATGATGTCCTGAACGTTTTCTATCCTTTCCTCGATAGTAGTTGTTACTGGGAATATCAGAGACACGCTATTATTAAAGAAATGTCTCCAGTCCAAGAAACCTGTGGTGGGGAAGTGAGGGGACAGGCTATATCAATGGTATTTTTATAAACTTAAAAGAAAAAATCCTCAGATGGGTACATTATTTCAAAACATCAGCATCTTTCAAAATCAACTCTTATCTCATTCCCTCCATTTACTCCCATCCAGTCACGTCTGATGCTGGTCATCTCCAACTTCCCCAAATACTTAAACAATGTAATTAATATGGCTGGTGAGTACTAAGGTAAAGAGGTACAATAATTTGACAGTCTGTTTCTTTTTCATTCTGTATACGACTATATTCCCCCTCCCCTTCCTTCCTTCCATCAGTCACCAGAATGAAGGGCTGGAAAACGTAGGTCTGGTTCCTTTTAGATCGGATTCCCCATTGGATACTGTCTGGAGGCCATGGGGATGAATAAGTTCTGCAGTTTGGATCAGTAGCAGAAGCAGGTAACACACCAGGAAACTGGTCAGCCTAAGAGGGGGACAGAAAATGACGAAGAGTTTCTGATACATTCCTCAGCTAAACTACAGTGATTGCTGCCTGTCTCCTATAAATGTCCATTTTTCTCCTTTGGACAGAAAATATGGCTTAGGAAGCCTAAGTTTATATGTACATGCAAGCTAAGGAGGGAACTAAGATGCAAACCTAAGGAATTAGCAAGGTAAACGAAGATCTTTATGTTTTTGCTTTGATTTGAACATTGCATATCTTTTTATTTTCATTCAGTGGACAGTCTCTGCAGCTTCCCTGTCTTAACACATTCACTTCAAGTTTCCTGTACTGCATTCTCCTGTTTTCCTCCTCCTCTAAGACTCTCCACCTTAGCTGCTGCCTTTCAAACTGGTGAAAATGAAGCTTCAGGATTAGAAAGACTAGCACACATAGTGAATATCATTTTTTCTTTCCTTTCTGAGACAGTTGCACTGTGTAGTTCAGGCTGCCCTCAAACTCATGGCAATCCTCCTGGCTCAGCCTCCCAAGTGTTGGGATTACAGGCATGAGCCACCACATCCAGCTTGAATACCATTTTTCTAATGATGATATTATGGAGTCTCTTCAGTTTCTTATCCTCAGATCTAGAAATCCTTTCCCTAGCAATCTTTCTCATAACATCTCTAGGAGGGCTGGGGATTTAGCTCAGTGGTTTCGCCGCCTGCTGCACAAGCGCAAGGATCTGAGTTCGATCCCTGGTACCAAAAAAAACAAAAAAAACCCTCTTAGAACATTCCTAAAATATAATAGTGTTAAGTAAATATCTCTATTGATGGTGCTGAGTGGTTCTAGATTAACTCTGGGGGTGGAAACTCAGCTTACCCGTGAGGCAACAAATTAGTCTTCAAACTTTCAGAGACAGGTTTTCTCTCTGCCTCTCTCATTAGAAGAGCCCTAAGGTAAATGGCCAAAGGGCTGACACTTGACAGAGGAAGATGCCTATTAAGATTTGTTTTTCTAAAGACAACTTTTGGCAAATAAAGTACAGTATTTGAAAGCAACAGGGTATTTCCTTCCTAGTTAGGAAAGGGTTTTAAAAGTCCTGTGAGTATATTAAGGATCTAGGTTAGACTTAGAATCCTAGGAATATAAAACAATTCTGCTATTTTCAATTAGGAATTGTCTACAGAAATGACTGTTTACTAATCCAAAAAAAAAAAACAAACCAAATTTAAAACTTTCAGTAGAGAATATCTAGTTATAAAACAACTTCAAATTGGCAAGCTAATAGACTAACTTCATGAAAAACAAACCCAAAACTGACAACAAATGTACTAGTGAAAACAAAGACTGTAATATTTCAAATACCAAAAAGTCCCGGCTAGAAAAGGTACCCTCCAAATATCAGCCTCAGTGGAATCAGGAAGAAGGAAGAACACCCCCACCCTACCAGACCAGAAGGACCACCGCCCTCCTGTCCCTCACTGCCCCCCAGGCTTCTCTGGGAGGAAAGCACAAGTCAACCCCTCTTCCATTATACTCCCTGAGTTTGATAGTCACACTGAGAGCTTAAAGCCACTTGCCTGTGGTCCATGGTGCCATCAAAGTTGGGTTTGTATTTCGATTCTACTCCCTAAAGTGTTATCATTAGATGTCTGTTTTAACTAGTTGGCAAGGTAAGAAGGGGAAACAATACTTTTCCTGAATACCTATTTAAGTTGTCAGATGGAACATTCATAGACAAAAGGAAAGAGAACAAACCTACCCATTCCAAGTAAACAGTTCAAACTGTAGTTGAGGGTTTATTAAAAACTATTGTTTTCTTAAAAGGTTCATACATTCAAGATTCTAAAAATCAGTCCAAAGTCACAAATACATTTATCATGTTAACTTTTCTTGGCTGGGGGAAAAAAACAATGCTAAAACTATCAGTTTCAAACAAAAAAACTATCAGTTTCATCCATAAAGCATTTGTGTAGAAACACTAATTTCCATTTTACAACTTTTTTTTTTTTTTGGTACCAGTGATCGAACCATTTTACAACTCTTGAGTGACTTGACAGAGAATACCTAGCAAATAGCAAGCAAAATGGCATAGCCACAAGCAGGAAAGAAACCAAGACAAGTCAAAAATACACCAAGTAAGAAATTCAATACAACTGGAAAACACATTCTCAGGCACCAGCATTTCTCCTTTGGACACCTGTTCCTCACTGCCCTTAGATGCCCTAGGCTTGGGGTAATGGCTGAGCTTGAAAAAAATAATTGACACTTAACAGTCACACATACTTGGTGGGCCTGAACCAAACTACAAAGCTTAGCTTGAGTCACAACATTATGCTCAAAGTCATAAACATTAAATCTTTACACAAAGCTATTCTGATGTAGAGGTGAACCTCTTCTCAGTACTATAGCCTTCACCCCAAATACATTAAAAAAGGAAGGGTATAATGACATTAAACATGAGTTCAAGGCCAGCCTAGGCTAAACAGTGAGTTTCAGGGCAGCCTGGATTACATGGTGAGACTACCTCAAAAAACAAAACAAAAGCCTAATTTATGAAAAAAAACACCTATGCTCTTCATGCGCAAAAAATTATTAATTGTAAGGCCTGCTCCAATGTTCCTATAAAGAGCAGGGCAGGGCAAAAACCTATTTAGTGAATATCTCCACCCAAACTCCCACAAAAACATGTTAGTTTCTTCTCCACTGAGCCAACTGGATGTTCAGGTGGAGATTTCTCTATTCCTGGAAATGAAAGGAACAGGGAATAATGAAACATATATTGAGGAACTTACATCGTAGGTTCCCTGGTGAAGTAGTGAGCAGGAGTAACTTGACATTGTGACATCACAAAAATAGCCAGACTAGCCAGGCATGGTGGCACACGCCTGTAATCTCAGCACTTGGGAAGCTGAGGCAGGAGGACCATTGTGAGTTTGAGGCCAGCCGGGGGTACATAGTGAGTTCAAGGCTAGCCTGAACATAGCAAGACCGTCTCAAAACATAAACAAAAACAAGAACACAAGACTAGTCAGATTTAGCTTTGGGAAGGGTGATCCATTCTAAAAAGCATGTGAACAGACGACAACACAAGAGGACAGGATAAGATCTGGCTAAGATTTCTGATGAGGTAATTAGCTCTATTAAGAATATCTCTTAAAAAAAAAAAAGAAGTATCTCTTGACCTTGAGTCTCTGACCTAGAAGCTACCTAAAGTTCTATAAATTGTTCATCTGGTCCAGGCATAAAAGTGAAGGGGCCAGGTAAGTAAATGCTAAAAGCTCAGCATAAGGACAATAACTATTCAGCATTTACTTCTAAGTTGTAAGTAATACACCAAGCTTACTTCCCATCGTCCACAAATAACATCACTCTTAGTTGCCTATGCATGGTCTGCTAGGTCTGAAGAAACAAAAGCAGGGTCTGGGATCTAGCTCGGTGGTGCCGCATCTGCCTTGCAAGCGCAAGGTCCTGGGTTTGATCCCTGGTGCCAAAAAAACCGCACAGAAAAACACCACCACCAACAAAACAAGACCAGGATGCCAGGAGGGCAGGATTCTGACCTGATGAACAATTCACTAAGGTACATAGGGAAGAAAATGGATTTTCCCTTAAGTACCTTTGGTCTCTTTAACAAAGTATGCAAGGCTGTAGTCAATTAGCTGACAAGCTAATTAGCCCTCTATCCCAAGGTCCTGACCATGCCAAGCTTTGTTTTACTGACCTTAGGTAAATCCCCCAATTCCCAAGCTTCCAGCTATTTCTTCTTCTCCAGCTTCTCTCCACTTCTCCTTTCACGTTCTCTCCCCTTTCTTTCTGCAAAGAATGCTCACAGAACAGATGGCACATAATCAATGAAGCTAGAGAAAACACCTCCCGCGCATCAGGTATAAAACAAGTTCAGAAACAGGCACCTCAAGAGTTATAATACACATTTCTGCCTTTTAGTAATTTGCACTTTAGATGGGAAAGGCAGAATATATTATTCCTCACATAGGAAATAATATTTTAAAATCAATTTATTAAACTAGATATAAAACATGGGATGGAAAAATCTCTAAAATATTTCTTAAAGGAAAGAGGGTTATTTGTACCAGAGATCTCCCACATAGTGAAACTAATAATGAAGCTCAAAGAAATCCCATATATGTTCTGTATATTTATTTAGCTGAAGCGGTCACTCTGATGACCTAAGAAAACCATAGTGTCCAAGAACAGTCCAAGTTAGTACTATAATCTATAATCTGATTAGTCCACTTACCAGAGATCTATGAAAATTCAAAGTTTACTTGATTATTAAAAAGAGTAGAGGGCCAGGGATTTAGCTGTGATTCTGGCGCCTGCCTCGCAAGTGTAAGGTCCTGAGTTCGATCCCCGGTACAAAAAAAAAAAAAAA